TAGAGGAAACATTTTCTTAGCTAGCCTTCCTCCAGGCCAGGTGTGCACGCAAAGCCAAGGAACGAGCCTTTCCTGAGAATGGCTTGAAAATGTGATGCTTACAAGCACAAAAGCACACAGTTTAGCTTTCAAGAAAAGCCCCAGGTGGTGGTGGTGGACACCTTTATCTCTGAGTCCTAGGCCAGCCTGGTCTACAGGACAGTCCCAGAACATCGAGGGCTACACAGAGAATCCCTGTGTGTGCGTGTGAGAGAGAGAGATCATGAAATAAAAACACTGAATCTCTTGGACATGCTTACTTTATCTGCTATCTATATTGCAAGGCTTATTTAATAGATAAAAACAGCTTGTTAAGTTGTGATATGATCTAGTAGTTTCAGTTCCTTGTTCTTTATTGTGAAGAGTGTGTACATTTCATTTCATCTGACAAATCAAACACATTTTTATCTGCCTGCTTACACATAACACATAATGTATTGTGTGAAATAGACTATTTTCAGGAATGTGTATCACCTGTGTTTCTCTTCATTAGATTTTCGTTAAAGGCAGCAGTACTAATTGATATTGACCTCTTATCTTGGGAAGATAAAGTATGTTTTTTTTCCTGATGGGATACAAATGTTGAATATGTGATGAACTTAAACTCCGATATTGAAATCAGGATGATCAGTGTCTGTTCACCTATTGCAGTAAAAAGAAATGATCTGCATGGTGTTTTTGTTTTTGCTTCTTTGTTTAGGTATTATGCAGAAAGAGTGTTTTTTAATTTCCCCTTAAAAACTAAGTTATTGAAATTCCTTATTTCTACTGACTTTTTATAATTAAGATGTAGAAGACTTGGTCTGTGATTCACGGATGGGTTAAAATCTACAACTGAATTTTAACTACTTGAGAATTGCTGGCCAGCAGGTAGAGGGCCAGACTGGGCACTACCCTGGAAGAGGAGTTACCTGCAAGGAGGACCCGGAAACTGTCTTACCCCAGGAGCATCAAGGCTGCACATAAGGAAAGACAGATGGAGAGTTGAGCACTAGGAGAGGTTGGGCAGCCTGGTCCTCTAGGGTCCAGGGTAGGGAGGGGATGACTCTTCGGTCAGAAAACTGTCCCCTTGCACAGTCCTCAGCAGCCTGTCCCAGGCCATGGCAGCCCCTCATGTGACTATCAAGATGGAGGACGTCCCACCATGCTCAGTCTTCAAGAGAAGAAAGCAAAACCTCCTGGGCGTTAAACGCATCTGAATTGGTAGACATGGCAGGGGAGTGAGTGACAGAGATGGTAGAAGTCTCCACTACCCCAAAACCAGAGAACCAGGAGCACACATTTCCCAGTGTCAGAGACACATGTCCCCCCTGAACAGAGATACCCATTCCACACTTCCCCAACTTTCCTCAGCTCTAGGCCCTGATGGATGGAATGTCTGCCTGCCTCATCGGTCAGGAAGTTTCTTTCCTGTTCAGTCTCCCTGTTCATGCTAATCTCTTCCATAAACAGTCTCACAGACCCAGCACAAGAATATTTTTACAGACATGTGGGCATCCATTTGTCCAGTCAAGTTAACACAAAAGATCAAGCATCTTATTTTGTGATAGAAAGCCTGACCCCGAATATCAATTAACAATACTGATCTGTAGGGGAAGAGTAGATTTTAGCTGTCAGAAGCTCATCTTTTAACTGTTCACCAGAAATTGGCTATGTTCTAGGGAGAGGTTGGATAAACAGAGGTTTATGTAGGGAGATTCATAGGCCTTGATTCATCAAGCGGAAACAGGTACACCCAGTAACAATTAAAATGAAGAACAATTCTTCATTCCCAAGAATGAAAAGGAAAAGCATCCAAGAGTCATTATAAACTTCAAAGGTGCTGTGAAGTGGAACCATGGACTCCAAGTGCTTTGGTGACACATGAAAGGGGCCACATGTCTTCCTGGTGGCACTGTAAATCTATTCATAGAACAGGCACATAATCTCCTACAACACCCCACAACTGGTCTTTCCTGGTGCCCCAGGCTGTATCCTTTGGAGATCATTGAAAATATAGGAACCAAAAAGAGGGAAACAATACTGGTGTTATGAAAGCTAAAATGTTAGAGGTGCCCACTAGCAGGAAAAGGGTTAGAAAAATTGTACTTTACCTATAAGAAGGAATACTAGATAACAGCTAAGTCTCATGATATCAGAATGCTGATATGTCCCACTTTAAAATATATATATACACCATAGGGGGAGGGGGTAGAAAGTGGATTATTAGGTAAAGTGCTTGTTATGCAAGCATGAGGACCTGAGTTCAGATTCCTAGTATCACTTTAGTAAGCCAGGCTTGGACTGAGTACCTGTAATTCCAGGGCTGGGAGACAGAGACAAGTGGATCCTAGGAGTTCACTCACTCACCAGCCATTCTCGCCAAGTAGAGCTTCAGATTCAGTCGATGACCCTGTCTCAAAACTTAAGGTGGAGAGTAACAGAGAAAGGCACCCACTGTTGACCTCTGGTCTCCACATGTTCACATACAGATATTTGCAACTATACACACATGTGTGCTCACACACACACACACACACACACCACACTTTCTTATGCAAGGAAACCAAGCCAGGGCTCTATGTGTGCTAGTCAGATACTCTACTAATGAGCACACAGTCAGTCCCAATATGTTTTAAGTAAAAGGTTAAAGAAAGAATGAGCAGAACCTGTAGAGTGAGCAAAGTCTTGAGTGAATGTGTATTTTTGACACAGGCACAGCTACGTTGAGGACTACTGTAGGAGTGAACCCCACAAAGCTATCCGCCCATGAGGGCGGGGACATGTAAACTGACACAGGTAGATATAAAAGGAAGTGAAAGAAAAAGGAACCTCCCTTTTCCCCTGGAAGCCAGCCACACTTCTAACTCCTGGTTTGTGTGACTCTCTCTCTCTCTCTCTCTCTCTCTCTCTCTCTCTCTCTCTCTCTCTCTCTCTCTCTCTCTCTCTCTCTCTCTCTCTCTGGTAAATAAATATATTGTTTTCCTATAGCATTGACTATAATTAATAGACTACAAAACCTTGGACCCATGGGACTATTAGCAGAACCATACTTCCCAGGCTCAAGAGGAATGGCAAAGTTTTTCTTGGGAGTAAAAGTCTTTATGAGCAATTGATGAGTGTGTGCAATGACTAGCAACTGCAGCTTCCTCCTCCTGGTTGTCCACAGCATAAGACTACATGATTATAGTGACCTCCTATCTAGATTGGCTAAGCCTACTCCCACCCCTGTGCTCTACCTAATAAAAACAAGCTGGAGGTCCAGGTGATAGTGGTGGCAGAACCCTACCGGATCCCAGCTTCACCATATGTGTGTCTAGCCTTCCTTCATTGCCTGACTGCCCCTAGTCAGGGTTCTGAAACCCAAGCCACACTGATCCTGGCAGGAACATATGGACACATGATTAAAGCAGGCATTATTAGAAGTCAAGAGAATCTGAAGTGATGTCACTAAGTAGACATTCGTCAAGCCCCTACTAAGTTCAGAGCATTTCTAGGTAGTAAACACCTAAAACACTAGTGAACAAGAAGTAACCAAAATACATGCAATTTTGTCACTATCATCCATGGACAGAAGCATACAATAAATGCTAACAATAAGGCATGCAATGTGTATATTTTCCACTGATGTGTAGTTCACATGCTATAAATGTGTAGCTTTTTTTTTTGGTTTTTCGAGACAGGGTCTCTCTGTGGCTTTGGAAGCTGTCCTGGAACTAACTCTTGTAGACCAGGCTGGTCTTGAACTCACAGAGATCCACCTGTCTCTGCCTCTCAAGTGCTGGGATTAAAGGTGTGCACCACCACCACCCAGCTAAATGTGCAGCTCTTAAGGGTATACCTGTGTGAATTTGGTATCTGTATTCTTTGTGTAATTATCATTCAGATCTAGATAAGGAATGTTTCCAGCACTCTACAAGTTCCTGTCAATAAACAATCCTGCCAAAGTCAACATACATTTGACCCAATCATACTTCCCATCTAAACGGAATGATAAAGAATGCACTTTCTACGTGTGTGGATCACCATTATGTCAATATCAACATCAGTCAACATTATGTCACTGAGATTCATCCATGCTGTGGTGCAGAGCACTGCCACATCTTAAATTATGGCATACTATTTCATTACACGATAATGGCTTTATATTAATAAACTGCACTTCATTTACTAATTTTCTGCTGATGAAATTGAAAACTAAGCTGTTTCCTACATTCTGGCATAAGTCTTTCACAGCTTTTGGAAGACAAAAGCATAGGGAGACAGTTCTGGGTGAAAGGTCACTACTTGCTCAACACTAGTTGACACTGTCAGCATTCCAAAGTGGTTATACTCCCAGCAATACACAAGTCCCATCACTTCCCAAAGTACCAGCTATTGTCAGCCTTTTGGATCTTAGCCATTCTAGTGGTTCTACACTAGGATATTACAGTGTTTACGATGACCGGTGTTTGCTGTGATTTTACGGGCTAATAGGCTACTTGGATATTCACTTTTAGGTATGCCTGTTAAAGCTTTAATCTGTTTTGTAAGGTATCTTTCTAGATATATTGTTTTTGGATAAGAGGCCTTTGTTGAGTAGCCGTGTTCTCCCAAACGAGCCTGGCCTGAATGCCTACCCATAAAGCAACTCAGTCTGGCACCAGGGATGTGAGTCACAGAGATCCTGAATAAATCTCCTGGGGGCTTGCTCTTGGGTGTGGTTTAAAATCGCTTTCGGAGTAAGTGCATGATGCAAATGAAGAACGGGTGAGGAGGAATCCGAGTAGATAGTTTCATGTTAACAATGTGTATAAAAGAAAGTCGCATGGCCATGTGAAGTGACACACAAAAGCCACGCTGGCTTCTGACTTAGAGACCTCGGAAGGACCAAAGGGATGGCCTTCGGCATCGAAGGTCGTCTACAAGGGGTAGAGGATTCCTGGAACCTGGCTTCTCATCAGTTGTTTGTTGTTGTGACAAAATACCAAACAAAAGCGACCTGAGGAGAGGGTGATTTATTCTGGTTCAGGAGATACAGTTCAAAGAGGCAGGGAAGGCAAGCAGTAGAGACGAGTCAGAGATGCATGATAATGCTCCTGTCTCAGCACATCTTGCTTATATCTTCTTGTGTCAGGAAACAGAGAGTAAGCAGAAGAGGTCCTTGACTACACTGATCAAAGTCTATGCTCGTAGCAACCTCCTGTCTCCAGATAGACCCCCACCTGCCAGAGAGGCAACAACTGTTCAAAACAGCCATCCTTTGGGAACCAAGTATCCAAACAGGAGAGCCTGTAAGGGGCACTTTAGTTTTAGAAGGGTACTTTGACAACGGAAAAGAGTTGCTGGGGCTTTAAAGAGCCTATGTGGGGTGGGGATTGGATGACAAACCAAGGGAGCTGGTGAGGTTTGGAGTCTGGAACGGGATGGGAAGAAGGAGAAGGGCTCCCTGCAAACCAAGGAAATCTGGCATCTCAATCGCACATCCCACCCTGCCAAGGCCCTACTTGCTGCCCCAAGTGGCCATCTTTGTGAACACAGGTCTTGGGAGGAAGCGACTGGTTTTCATGTAGTCGGAGATCTTCTTCAGGCCCTGTGAGTGAAAAGGACAGGGCAGGAGCTCAGGTCAGCGTGTCTCCAGGATAAATAGCCCCACTCCAAGAACAGCTTTCCCTGCAGGCTCTAGTATTAGAGTTCTGAATAGGGAATGCTTCAGCTTTCTAAAAAAAAACTCTGTGCAATGGACTTTGTACCCATATATATATATATGCTCAGAAAACCTACTTGATCCTCCAAGACAGTCTCACTGTACCTACATCTCATCAAAAGTCAAGGTACAGAGTGGGTAGGTGGCTCCCTCCTGTTCACACAGCTAGTCCATGGAACAGGACTTGAGTCAGCTTGCCTCTAGGGCTCCCATTCTGTGCCCTCTCTGCTCAGTGCCCTCCTGTCCTCCTGTAGGACACCCTGTCACTCCTGGATTCACAGATATCCTCCTGGATGGTTTACACAGAAACTACCTGCTACAGGATAATAGGCCAGTGCACAGAACAGAGAGTCCAGACCTCACACAGTGACCTGGCAACCCCTAGATGTAATGAACAATGGGAGGAGCGGCAGCTTGGGATGCTGAACCAGCCCTAATCACTCTTGAAAGTAGAGGTCCAACCTCTTCTATGCATGACCTCAGGTTGATCTCACTCTGCCCAAGCTGCCTCATACCCAGCCCCGCTATAGAGAACCACACAAAGAAACACAGGGTATGTCTTGTTCCATCTTACCAGGAGAGCCTGTTCAGATACTTCCTACAGTGTTCAGAGACCTAGAGCTGACTCTTACCAAGGAGGCAGGTGCAGCAGGCCTTGGGCTGCAGCCCTCAGCCCTTCCATCCTTCCCTACCATGGCCACACCAGCTCTAGTACACTACAGGCCATTATATCAGGACTAGAGCCAGAGTTGGTGAGAACTAACTGAGAAGATGTATTACTTGCCATAAGGAGATTCCAGACTAAAAACCTGTTGTTCTACTGCCTGCAGTTGCCAAGCCTCTGAAAGAATATATTCTGTGGGTGTTAAGGAGACTCATGACTGACTGTGTCGTGAGGGCCAAGCTTTGATCCCCAGCCCCCAGCGGATACCATATCTGTATTGTCCGCATCTCTCGTCATACTCAGTCTCTGAATGGAGTTCTGACACTGAGCCTCATACAGAGGTGAAGACTAGTGAATAGGAGTGAAAATGAGTATATGACTACAAAATGACTTTCTAGAGACATGGGGGAAAAATGGGAATAAAACCCCAAACCACACTTTAGGATAAAACCCTGAATAGGGCCCACATACACTCTCAAAGCTAGCACCAAAACAAAACAAAACAAAAACAAAAACAGCCTTGGGGTTTGGCATGTAGTCAGATGAGGATCAGAGTGAATCATTCTGAAAACTGGGTATAAGTATTGTCTATGCACGCCTGTTTTACACAAATCCTACCACGCCTCCCTCTCTGAATGCCTGTGACATGGGTTCTGCCTTCTCCACAGCATCCTGGGCTAAAGAGCTCAGACAGTGCCCAAGGCTTTCCATTTTGACACAAATTAGGAACATAGCTATTGCCTGCTGACCTTAGAGGCTAGGCACCAAAGGGAGCTGGGAATAACCTCTGCTAGTAGGACTTACCCTCTATCACCTCTACAGTCTCTTTCCTTATCTACGCTATGGGACTCACAACTCAATCTGTAAGTTGATCATAATGATAAATTTCACACAAAAGATAAAAAATGCTAAACACGGGTCCTGACAGAGAGCAAGCACCCAATATATGCTACTGTTTTGCTGTTTTTATTTTAGTTCAGGACTAAGGACCTGTCAGGGAAAGGAAGGACATCCAAGAAGAAAGAGGATTAGGAGCATCACCTCAAAGCGAGATATGAAGTCCTTCAGGTTTGGGAATGCTTCTAGGCACTTGGGTTCAAAAACTTGGTTCCTCTCAAGAACATCATAAGCGATGAAGTCCACAAAGGTGATCTGCAGGAAGCTGACCGTGAGTGCTGGAATCTGGTACCCTGGGAAGAATGACAACGACAACGCCTCCTCCCCACCCCCTCTCTTTACCTTGTCCCCTGCAAACCATGGCCGCTTGCCCAGGAACTCGGAGTAGAGCCTCATCATTCCCGGGAGTTGCTCCAGGTACCCTGGCTTCAGCTTCTCCTACAGCAGAAAACACTGTGACCACCCTCAGTCACAAGATTCTGGCATAGGCCAGGCTATGAAGGTCCCACTTGGGCCTGGGTTAATCCAGGCTTTTAATTTAGTATGTCACCACTGATTAGATCCTACAGACACCAGATCCAGTATCAGAGGTGATGAGAAGCCACACAGGGACACTCTGTCCCTGAGACTCACCACTGATGTTCAGAACCACTCTTGTGGGTCACAGGACTGTGTGGGCAGGCTCTGGACTCAGATGTTATGCAGAGTCAAAGAAGCAAACAACTAAAGCACTCTGGAAAAGAAGTGGAATGTTCTACATAGTAAAGTGACAGGAGAAGGGTAGGACCTTGGTGCACTTTCAAAAAAAAGGTAAGTGCATTTGAGGGGGTGAAGAAAAGAAGGAGACGGTTGATTGGCTGTGAATTGCCTGCTGGGAACATCTGCTTATCACCGTGGGCATCCTGGACATGGCTCTGGGAATCTGGTTGGGAAGAGTCCCCAGGTAATGACGCCCTTCTATTGACGGACTGCACCACTTTTTTTTTTCATTGTTTGAGTGTGGACTATAGAAGCAGTGATGATGTAAAGTCAAGAGGAAGACATAACCCAGCGGGGAAATGGGTGGTCAGAGCTGAGGGATTCTAAACAGTCTTTACTACCCAGGTACTGATGCTCAACTGTGGAGCATTTGTTCTGGTTGCTAAAGGCAGTGGAGTCCACTGGGAGTTTCACTTGACAAGATGCTGGTGTTTGAGGTCACTCTGTGGGCAGGTGTGTGTGTGTGTGTGTGTGCGCGCGTGTGCACGCACGTATGGGTGCACACATGCTCATGGAGGGGTTGGTTTTGTTTTGGTAGTTTTGATTTTGAGACAACCAGTAATGCCTTAAACAGTCCTGTCTCAGCCTCCAGGCTATGCCACATGACTCTGCTGCGGCCCAGAACACCATATCTAGGTGAGTGGTGCTACAAAGTTTCGTTTTAAACATACAGAACAGATGAGAAGGTAAAGGTGAAAGCTCCTGTCCCCCTCCCTCATCCAGCCCAGAGTAGGACTCACAAAGTCAGGGTTATAGCAAAGCCTGGCCAGCACCATGCGGTTGTCCATAAGTTGATTCTCCAAAATGTCCACACGGATTCTCTCCTCTTCTGTCTCCCCACCTGCAGCACACACAGCAGAGACTCACTCTCAGCATCCAAACCGAGTCAAGGAGAGTAACCACCATCCCCACCCTGCAGCCAGCCCCACTCACACAGGTCGTGCTTGCGGCCAAGGTAACGAAGGATGGCGTTGCTCTGAGTGATCTTGTGTGACCCATCAATTAAGTAAGGCAGCTGGAAAGGCAAGCAGGGATGGTCAGATGGGATATGGGGTATCAGCATCCCCTTCTTGGGTGAGGACAGACATGGGGCCTGGTACTCGGTGTGCCTGGCATGGGAAACTTTCCATGAACACAATGCACACCAAAAGGAAGAGCTGGGGCACAGCCCATCCCAGAAAGATGAGGTGAACAACGAGAGATAGGTGGATGAGAACAGAAGGACTGGTCCCAGACCTCCCGGGCTGTGCAAAATATGGGCATCATCACCTTCCGCAAGCCTCCCCTTCCCTGAACGTACATTGGGAAAGTCCAGGCCCAGCTTGAACTTCTCGTTCAGCCATTGGCTTTGGTCATAGTCAGGAGCTGTGGTGGACAAGATAATATGAAATCAAAGGATACATGTGTTCGGTCCCCTTTCCCAAGACCCTCCCAAGGCGCCTAAGGCTCTCTGAGGCAATGGACCTGCAAGCCAGTCTCACCCTGCAAGCTTAAGAATGAAGATATTTGTGAGGGCTGTGGGCTCCTGCATCTCTAAAGCTTACAATAGATTTAGCCAAGTGCTAAGGGAATGGAACCCAATTATATATACAGAGGACCCTCCAATCGTTCCTTAGCGTCTTCTATTGGTAGAGCGAACTGAGCACACAATTAGGGTTCTGAAAGGGGCACAGTCTAGGTCCAACAAGAAGAGGCAGAGCTGAGCAACAAGAGGACCAGATGTGGGTTTTGGGCACCAATGGGCAGGCGTTGGCAGGGATCTGATCAGGGAGGTGCAATCACCGTCGCCCATGGTGTATCTCTTCTCCTCATAGCTTGAGTCTGTGTACTCCAGGAGCAGGCGGATGGCATGAGCCAGCTGTGAGAAAGGACCAGAGATGATGAGATTCTTTACCCCCTCCAGATGAGCTCCCACCGCCCTGTCCTAATTTGACCATCTCCATACACGAGCACACACACATGCACGCAGCGCGCACACACACACACACACACACACACACACACACACACACACACACACACCTACCAGAGCATGCCTCCACAGACTGTCTTCTGGAAGACAATCTTCCTCGGCAAGCCCATCTACTGCGTGTGTCCTTAACCCTCCTCCAAGCCCTACTCTGCATTCGCACCCCTCACTCACCCCGCGGATGTCCCAGTAACCCAGTGTCATGGGCATGATTCTGTGATCTGAAAGGACAGGCTCGGTGTCAGACTTTCTGAGAGCCGCGGGAATGGAGAGACCGGGACTTGGCTTTGTCAGGTCTTCAGACCGCCCTTCCCCACCCCCAGTTTCGACCAATGCCGGAGTCCAGGGGGCGGGCCAGGCCCACCCCGCAGAGACGGGGTGAGAGCCAAGGCAGCTTGAACTCAGAAGGTACATGGTAGCCTGGCTGGGCGACTGAAGCAAAAGGCGGCGGGCTGGGCTTTCCTGCTCCTGCTCCTCTCCCCCATTGCTGTGGGCTGCCCTTCTCTACCCTGGAGTCTAGAATGTCAGCAGCACTGCTAGTGATGACAATTCAGAAGGCCTGGGACCTTGACAAATGTGTCCTAAGGGCAAAATTATATCTTGTATTGTGAATACAAGAACAATGAAGAGCTGAAAAACATGATAATGCAATTCACTCATGTGTGCAAGATAAGTCTTTTTTTAATTCTTTTTATTTTTCAAGACAGAGTCTCTCTGTGTGGCTTTAGAGCCTATCCTGGAACTCACTCTGTAGACCAGGCTGGCTTTTAAACTCAGAGAGATCCGCCTGTCTCTGCCTCCCAAGTGCTGGGATTAAAGGCGTGTGCCACCATCACTGAAGCAAGATAAGTCTTTCTAATGGAATTTACTTCAACTAGTGTGTGTGTGTGTGTGTGTGTGTGTGTGTGTGTGTGTGTGTCCTGGGTCACGTGGTAAGCGTATCTATTTTTTCTGTTTTTTAGTTTGATATAATGTTAGACTTTGAGAAAATTCATTAAAGAAAAAGTACACACTTAACTCCCATGCACCCTAGCTGCTCCCTTGTTCAGATGTCCTCCCCCAACCTCGACCCTCCAACCCACCCCCCACTTTTGACTCCTCCCAGCATGAGTACAAAAGCTCATAACCAAGATCCCATTTTCCTTGTCTCCGCCATCACCCTGGAGGTGAGTGAGACCAGAAGGAGCAGTGATTTATAATCATCTCTGTGGCACTGACTCCCAGCCAGGCCATGCAAGTGGACCTGTAGTTTATGACAATTGATGGAGCACGCTTCTCTGTACAATTGTCCCAAATTCCTGAGGAAAGAGTGTTCTCTGTCTTAGTTTCTTCTTTCTCCTTTTAGATGGCTTCACAGGTTGGCCGTGGAACTCTGGGTAACTCAGGCTGGTCACGAATTATCTTCTTTTCTCCTGCCTCACCTCCCAAGAGCTGAGATTAAGGGCAGGCAGCACTATGCCTGTCTCTCCCAGAATGCACCACCAACTCACTCCAATCTTGATTTTTTTAAAAAACATGTTTTGTGTTTGTGTTGGCTTTGATTGTGTTAAAATAAACTTCAAGTGACACAGGAATACAGGAGGTGATCCAGGAATACTTCAGGTGACACAGAACTACTGCAGGTAACACAGAGATACTCCAGGTGACACAGGGATACTCCAGGTGACACAGAGATACTCCAAGTGACACAGAGATACTCCAGGTGACACAGAGATACTCCAAGTGACACAGGTATAGTCCAGGTGACACAGGGATACTCCAGGTGATGCAGGGATACTCCAGGTGACACAGAGATACTCCAGTTAACACAGAGATACTCCAGGTGACACAGAGATAGTCCAGGTGACACAGGGATACTCCAGGTAACACAGAGATACTCCAAGTGACACAGAGATAGTCTAGGTGACACAGAGATACTCCAGGTGACACAAGGATACTCTAGGTGATACAGCCATACAGCAGGTGACCACTAGGGAGGAATGGGGTGGGCCACCAGGCTCCTCAATACAGCAGAGCACAGCCACTGCCAGACAAGACAGGCAGTCCAGTCTCAGGGATAGTCACTTCAGGAGGCCACTTTGATGAAGGAAAAGGCAAGAATGGGACAGGGATCAGGGACTAAAAAGGAGGGCAGGAGAGACCTTGTCGTCAGGATGAGGAAGGGAAGAGAGAAAGAAAGAGCAGATGGTGCCAAGGTGACTGGGGAATGGCTGCTACTGAGGACTCCCAACATCACAAGGAGAATGAGATTTTCACTCCCATCTCTAGTCCCGTTGAGGGCCCAATTGTTGCCCCAAGCGTCCTTATCTAGCTTTCTGACACAGGTCTGTGAGAAGCAGCTGGTCTTCATGCAGGCAGGGATGTGTTCCAGGCCCTGGGCGTGAGAAGACAGCAGGAGCATAAGCTTGTGCTCCCACGGGGCCTCAAGTAGCTCTACTCTATGAACAGCCTTTCCCTGTGGGCTTAATGCAGGCTCTCTGGAACGTGAATTCTTCAATTTCCTATCAAGAAGGAGAGGCTGGAGGCGGGGGCTTATACACTAGAGATTCAGAAAACTCTCTTAATAATCCTGCAGGATCTATCCAACCATGACTATCAGCAAGAGCCAGGGTACAGAGCGGATAGGTGGCTTCCTCCTGCTCACACAGCTGGGCCCCGGTCTGGCTCTAGGGCTACCCAGGCCCCTCCTCCCTGTCTTCACAGACTTCCTCTTGGATGGTTTACACAGAAACTACCTATTACAAGACAAGGAGATCCAGAACAGTCCAGTGCAGCAGAACAGAGAGCCCAGACCTCACACAGTGACCTGGCAAACCCTGGATGAAATGCATAAGGGGAGGAGGGGCAACTTAGGATGCTGAGCCAGCCCTAAAAACTCCTGAAAGTAGAGGTCCAACCTGTTCTATGAGGGACCTCAGGCTGATCTCACTCTGCCCAAGCTGCCTCATATCCAGCCCCATTACAGAGAACCACACAAAGAAACACAGGGTGTGTCTTGTTCCATCTTACCAGGAGAGCCTGCTCAGATACTTCCTACAGTGTTCAGAGACCTAGAGCTGACTCTTACCAAGGAGGCAGGTGCAGCAGGCCTTGGGCTGCAGCCCTCAGCTCTCCAATCCATGCCTCCCATGTCATGCCAATGTTTGCACAATCACCCAGGCTTTTCCTGTCTAAGCCAAGCCAAAGAGAATATGAGAAAGCAGAATATTTGATGGAGAGATGACTCCAGACCACAAACCTATTGTGCCGATGGCCCCAGTACTCAAATCTCTGTACATATTAAGTGGACTCTGGAGAACCCATGATTGACTGTGAAGTGAAGGCTACTGTGACAGCCCAGGGTCAGGTGATGCCATCATTTGTATGCCTTTCACTCTCTGTTGTATTTAGTCACTGGATGAAGGGTCATCCTTGCATGGCTCACTGTGCTGCATACAAAGAAAACCTCTGAGTACATAACCTTATCTCTCAGATGCAAAGTAACACACCCAGAGAATGATGGGAGAAAAGCTTGAGAGTGAAGAAAACTGCCCTGTTTGATTTCAGTATGAAAATATTCCAACTAGATGGGCTCAGTGGTTAAGAGTGATTGCTACACAACCACGGGGACCCGAATTCTGATGCCTGTGTCCATGTAACAAGCTGGGCATAGGTTCAGGCCCAGCGTTAAGGAGTGGAGACAAGAGTATGGCTGGAGTTCGTTGACTAAAAGCCCATCTGAAAACCATGATCCGAACTACTAGTTTCACACAGAGATTCTGCCTCAAAGGAATGAAGTAAAAGTGCTAGAGAGCCCTGATGTTCTCCCATGTCCCTGTGCATGCATCTCACACACACACACACACACACACACACACACACACACACACACGAGAGAGAGAGAGAAATCTTCCAACTGGGCTCCTACGTGTCTACTCAATTCACCAACCATATCCCTTGAGTCTCAGTGCTTCTCCAGTTGGGGATACACATCAAAAAGGCATTCTGTAGAAGGAAAGTGGATACTGTCTGTCTGGTGAACCTATGCCTAGCTTTTTCCCCACAGTCTGCAGTCAGCCCAATTCACACATGCTATTCTTGGTGCAATGTAGCATAAGACGGCACTATTTTAGGTGATCTTGGGACAGGCCATAACAAACTGTACCTTAACCATGGGATGTGCCTGGCCTCTGCCTTATCTGCATAGGGTGAACTTCCTGCTTTGATTTGGATTTGTTTTCTCTCTCTCTTTCCCATACTTGAAATGTAACTTCATCTAAAGACAGGAGTGTGGGACAGAGAGCATAGGCAGGGAGCTTGTCTCTCCCTCCCACAAAGGCCCTTCCAGATAGCATAGCCCTGAACAGAGGACTACAAGTGACCACTGTCCTATCACAAATTAAGTAGACCCTTTGTTCTTACAGAAGCCCTTATGTAGAAATGTCCTTGGGACCTTTCAACAAGAAATACAAAAACATACAATCTCTGTTAGTTTAATTAGGTGGTATCAGCTGGCCTTGAACCCATTTTCTCCTGTAACATCACAAAGGGGAGCGCCCTAGTGAATGGAGGGACCAAAGATGAAGGGAGGCTGAGACCCTGAAAGATTCCATAGAGCAGAGCTGGCCAATCCCCTGTGCTTTCCCAGCAAGAGAAGATGAACTGGGGAGATGTCCTTGCAGAGAGTCTCGGGCCCCTTCATGTCACACTCTCTGCCTCTATCTACCTAGAAGTGAGACCAGTCTCTACCATACACTCTGACAATCATAATATTCTGCCTAAGCATAATGGGCCACACACATATACACATACACACATAACATATATGTATATGTGTGTGTATTCATGAACTTCAAATTACTTTGAATATGTATCAAGAAAAGGAATTAGCATATCATATAGTACTTTTTTTAGGAACTAAATCTAACAGTCTAATTTCCACAATAGCTGTAGCACTTTATATTCCTAGGTACAAGTCAAAAGTCTTCCAATTACTCCACATAATCACCAAGTCTGCCATCATCAATTACTTGACAGTGGCTAACTGATGTGCGTTAGGCATATCTTCAATGTACTTTCATTCTATGTTTCTCCAGTGATTAGTGATTTTTGAGCAACTTTTATGTGCTTATTGGCAATTGTACATCTCCTCTAGAAAAATGTCTATTCAAGTATTTCACCCATGTTTCAGTTATGTGGTTTTCTCTTTGTTGCAGTAACCAATGTGTACAGGTATGTTCAATAGAACACAGCCAGACCCATTCCTTATGTGGACTTTGACATCCAGCAGAGGTATTAAAAAAGAAACAGGACGGATCGGGAGATGACTCAGTCTACAAAGTACGTGTATGCCATTCAAGTACAAGGACATGAGTTCAGTCCTTTCCACAGGCCAAGCTAAGTGCTGCTGTGATGTGAACTGCTAATCCCCAGGCTGAGGAGATGGAGACTCTCTGAAATTACTCTGTAGACAGCTTCCCCAAACCAGTGAGTGCCAGGTTCAGTGAGAGATCTTGTCTCAACAACTGAGGAAAAGGTAGCTTGAGGAAGAGAGCTGATGTCAACTGTTGACCTCCACGGCACACACACACACACACACACACACACACACACACACACACACACACACACACACACACACACCAGGCCAGGAACTATCGACCATTTACGGAAAGCATTTTCTAACTTCTGATATAGAATGATAATAATATTACTCTGACTTAATATTTCTGTCTTCTTAACTTTTATAAACTTCCATTAACATCTTTTTCCTGATGTTGTTGCATCTGTGTTTAAGTTGGTGTTTAAGTTGGTGTTTAAGTTGGTGTAAAGGCTAGATTAAAGGATTTTGACCTTATCAGATTAATCAATACTTCTCTTCAATGAATAAAGGAAATAATCTCTTTTATTACAAGCCTTACATTTTAATTAATCACTTATTTCATAATGACTCTCACATCCTTCCCAAGAGTGCTTACTTCTTCACTGCTGTAGTAGGCAGCAGCTGGAACTTGGCAATGCCCAATAGGGCTACCCTCCAACCTGTTCTTAGATAGTAGGAAGTGCTTAGCAAAGGCCAGAATCCATGATCTGGCTGCCATTGAGGATCCTGCTCATTGGATGCTTCTTCAATGAGTCAAGTTCCTTGCTGGGTGACTTGATAGCACCTCTAGTCACACACTGCTGCTTTGGTGCCTGGGAAAGTAGACCTGTCCATCTCCAGTTGCTCAAAGTCAGGTGCAGCCTCTTAAGTTTCAGATGAGAGTGAGTCTCCGGGTTGGACTACAGCACCTCCACATGGAAAACGGTACCTTGTCCTATGGTTATTTCCAGAGCTCTTCCTCCAAACACTGGGACAAGAATCTCTAAAGCAAATCTTCACAATTTCCTGAACATTAGCAATATGCCAGACGCTGTGGGACATATCAACAAGGCCAGGATCAAAGAGCTGATGATTGAATTTGTTGAAGATCCCACAACACAATCACCAACAGTAGGGAATATTTACAGCAAAACCTCTTGGAGAGAGAGAGAGATAACTTCTAGGTGAGGCCAGACACTGATTTGGAGCCTGCTCACCCTTTGCGCATCAGCCCAGCACCTCTCAGATGCCAGGCTCACAGGTAGTTGCACATAGCCAATGGAGGTACTACAACTGCAGGATTATGAATGAGGGACTGCTAAAGGATCCCAGGTAAATACCGTAGGGGACATTGTGATCTCTCTCTTTTTTAAAAAGATTCGTTAATGTGTGTATGTGTGTCTGATTGCCCAAGTTCATGTGTGCCAAGTGTATGCGAGGGCCGGAGCAAGCAGCAGACAGCATCAGATTCCCTGGAGTTGGGTTTACAGGTTATTGTGAGCCCCCGTTGTGAACCAAATCCAGGTCCCATGCAGGAACAGGAAGTGCTCTTAACAGATTAGCCATATTTCCCATTCCTGTGCATGATCTTACTTCATGCCTAATTGAGAGCCCACCCCCATGTCCCCATCACCTAACTGTCCTTATGAATAACAGAACAAAAATCATAGGAGATAAGACAGGACACAAAGCAAGTGTGGCTCATTCTTTACTAGAGATCTAACAAGGCTGGGCCATCCCACTCTTGGAGACCGAGCCTGCATATCAGGCAGCATGGATCTTTGGGCAACAGTGGCGGGGGGGATGGGGGGTTGGGGGAAGAGTAAAGGCACCAACTGAGCTGCTTAAAGCACAGTGAGGTTGTCTGGGAAGAAACATGACAGGAGCAAATAAGAGAAGAAAGGGACTTTGGCAAGGGCAAGGCTTGAGTGAAAAAAACAGGGTTCTTGTAGAGGGGAAGGTCATGAAAAGACAGGAAGAAATGGGGGGGCTGATGCAGAGAAGTTACTGGAAGCTAGCTGCAGCCCAGTCAGTGTCCAGGGCACCTGGGTCACTGACAGGTCTTCCCTACCAGTAGTAGCAGTGCAGGGTCCTACTTGTTACCCCACATGGCCTGTTTTAAGTACACAGGGCTCGGGAGGAAGCGGCTGGTCTTCATGTAGGCAGAGATCTTCTTCAGGTCCTGTGGGTGGGAAGGAGAAAGCAGGATCTCAGCCCTGCAAACTCACTCTAGGAACATCCAAGAGACTTTAAAATCCAGATGTAGAAAATTCACCCAACCACTATGCAAAATCAGGCCCAGCATCACCATTCACCATCACCACTCGGTAGGGATGCTGAGGTACCCAGAGGTTAGGGATCTTCCTCATTGTCCTATGGCTAAGAGGGTCAGCCCAGTTCTGTGGCCACCACTCTGCTCTCTGTACACTCCCCTCCTGCCTCCCATAGTGGGCACTGTCACTCGTGGCTGCATTGACATGCCTATGACAAAAAGAAGCAAGGATGCAGAAAACCAAAAGGGCTGAGAACTTGCATGTGTAGCTTAGAAGAGAGCCCAGGTCCCACCCAGTGACTCAGCAAACCCTGAGTGTGAGTGGAGAGCCGTGAGGGGACTGTAAAGCAAGGGGTGGCCAGCTCCGGCTGTTCACCTGAAGCTTCTCCACTTGAAGCCTGGGCACCATCTCGCTGACCTCCAACTAACCCCATCTCTAGCTCTGGTGCAGTTGAACGTGTTACAGGACACCTCAGCAAAGAGTGCACAGGTCATTTCTAAAGACCAACAGAGCCAGAGCTACCAGGCCCCAACAAGCTACACCCATCTGTGCCTACAACAAGGGCTTCTGGACTCCACAAACTCTCCTATCCCTGGGGCAGGCCATCCCAAGGCCACTCCATTCCAGAACCAGGGCTGATGAGAACTAACTAAAAATTAAATGCATCCCTTGATGGAGAGTGGAGAAAGAGAAACTTCCAGGCTGAGTTCTGTTGCAATATGCAAATCTAGAAAAAAAAGTGGGACGTGTTCACGTCAAATGTCAAACCAGAGAGGTCAGCATAGCGATGATTAACTGTGAGATGAGGGCCAGGCGACCATTTGATGCCACACGCATCCCTGCTGTGCCTACTGCTTCCAGCTGCACTCAGTTCCAGAATGTCCTGCTGGGCCTGGCCCCATGCCACACACAGGAAAATTCCAAAGAATCCGAATAAAAATAAAAGTATGACCTCACTATGTGGAGGAACATGAGATATGAAAGAAGAGAGAGAGGCGAGAGGTACCCACCAACAGAACTCAAGATAAAGCCATCCCCCGGGAACAGGGTCACCATGCTTCCCTGTCATGGACGCTACTATTGCAGATCAGGTGTGACCGCTGAGGATGTCTTGGCTCTGCACATCAATCTGCCTTGGTCTCAGCCTAATAATGGTTGCAGAAACAAGCACATTCTTCACATGTTCTGCATACCACAGGTCCTGGGCAGGAAACTCAGACTGTACAAAGGCCTGACTTTCCTTTTTGCACAAATCAGAGAGACAATGAATGCTTCCTTTAGAAGCCAAAGGCAGTCAGGAGCCCAGAGCAGTCTCTGCTGGTGCTGGGACCTTGAGCAAGCAGCTGGCCCTCCACAATCGCAGATTCCTTATCAGCCCAGTGGGACATCTAACTCTATCCAGGTTGCAGGCTGTTGCAAGGATACCCTGACTCCACAGATGTAAGAGGCTGCTCACAGGTCCTGACAGAAAGCCAGGGCTCAGTAGTCCCTTGTTATTCTTCTTTTAACCCTCAGGACTAGGGAAGCATCCTGGAAAGGGGAAGGGAAGGATATCCAAGAGGAAGGAGGATCAGGGCGTCACCTCAAAGCGGGCCACAAAGTCCTTCAGGTTCGGGAAGGCATCCAGGCACTTGGGTTCAAACATTTGGTGCTGGTCCAGGACATCATAGACGAGGAAATCCGCAAAGGTGATCTGCAGGAAGCGAGGGTCAGTGGGATGGGGTCTGGTTGCCTGTGAAAAATGGCAGCTCCTCCTCCCCACCAGTTACCTCTTTACCTTGTCCCCTGCAAACCATGGCCGAGTGCCCAGGAACTCGGAGTAGAGCTTCAAGTGATCTGGGAGGCCCTTCAAGAACTCTGGCTTCCGTTTCTCCTGAAGCAGAAAACAGCTGTCACAACCCTCATACAGGCCCCACGGGAGACAGTACGGCCTCCAGGGTTGGGCAAAGGAGCAGGCACCTTCCTAATACTGGGCCTGCACCATTTGATACCTCACTGTTTTCATGGTTAGACTCCTATCTGCTAGCCTCATCTCTCAGTATCTCAGGAGTGATTGAAAGCTAGGTGGGAATGCCACACTGCCCCTGAATCTGTCATGACTGACATCTAACCTAGGACCTCGTGGGTAACTGGCAGATTCTCGGCCCAGAGGTCCAATAGAAGCAGAAAAGCAAAGTACTTAACAATTTCAAGAGAAGAGATGGAGTGATCTCTAAGCGATGGTACAAGAACAAATACTCCAACAGTATCTGAGTAGGGCGAATATAGTTGAACGGTGTTAGGTGTTGGAAGGGACAGTGGTCCTTCAGCTGACCACAAGTTGCCTTTCAGCAACAAGACCTCATCTTTGCCACTACTGAGGGCTCAGCTCTGGGAAAACTGTTGGGTATGTTCCCGAACACCCAGGACTTCTTTCCCTCTGGTTGTCATCTGCGAACTCCAGGAGTGGTAGTTGGCGTGTGAATTGGACAAGATGGTACATGGCAGTGGTCAAGGTCAAAGTTGAAGAGAACTGAGCGTATGAGTTTACTACCTAGGAAATGAATTCCCAACCATTGGTGTCACGACAATACCTCAAAACTTGGAATTGACACGTGGTGTTTATTGACAAAATGGGGGTGGATTGGGAACTCAACATGTTTGTACGATTGGAAAGCTTGGCTAATTAGTATGGGTGGGTTCAAATTCCAGACAACAAGTGTAAGTATGAACACAAGCCCTTAATGCCTCCTACAAAGCCAGGCTATGCCATACAGGAGGGACTCACAAAGTCAGGGCTGTAGCAGAGTGTGCCCATCTGAATGCGGCTGTCCATAACTTGTTTCTCCAAAATATCCACACGAACCCTCTCCTCTTCTGTCTCCCCACCTGCAGCACACACGACAGAGACTCTCAGCATCCCAGCCAAGCCAAGCCCAGGGAGGTGACCACCATGCCCCACCCTGCAGCCAGCCCCACTCACACAGGTTGTGCTTGCGGCCAAGGTAGCGCAGGATGGCGTTGCTCTGGGTGACCTTGTGGGACCCATCAATTAAGTAGGGCAGCTGGATGGACAAGCAGGGACAGTCAGATGTGTTGCAGGTACTGTGCATCCCTTCCCTGGGTAAGGACAGACACAGGGCCTGGCACTCAGTGTGCCTGGCACGGTGAGCCCTCTGTGAACACACTGAATGGAAGAGCTGGACAGATGACATGAAGAGTTGGGACACAGCCCATCATAGAGACACCGTGCAGCCTCCAGGAGCAGGTGAGATGAGGTGAGGACGCCATGCCCTCCCCAGACCTCCCCTTCCCTGCACCTACATTGGGAAAGTCCAGGCCCAGCTTGAACTTGTCATTCAGCCACTGGCTTCGGTCATAATCGGGAGCTGTAGACAAGATAATGGGAAAAGAGATGAGCTGCATCTAAGCCTCCTTCCCCAGAACCCTCCCAAAGAGTCGAGGGCGGGGCCCCTTGTGCAGGGAATATGTAGTCTGACCCAGAAAATCTTCCATCCCAAAGTGGTGCATTTGAATAGTGCCTTAATGGCTGTAGGCCTTCCATGACTAAGGCTTACAAAATCACTAAGCCAGTACTGGGCAAACCTCAGTCAATTACAGTCAGAAAAGGGCCAGCATACCACAACCAAGGTTTTGTATTGAAAAACAAAGATGTACCCTAAAAGAGGTTTCTAGAAGGGATTCCCTCTGGGTTCACCTGGAGCTGAGCCACAGAGCTGAGAAATGGCACCGTCAGCGTCAGAAGCTGCTGGGCACCAATGGACAGAGCTGGGGAAGAATTTGACTAAAAGAGGGTGTCATTACCGTCCCCCATGGTGTATCTCTTCTCTTCATAGCTTGTCTCTGTGTATTCCAGGAGCAGGCGGATGGCGTGGCCCAGCTGAGAGAGATGGCCCGTAACAAAAGTCACAGTTGGTGAGATCCTAGATGTGTGACTTCACCCCCTCTAGGAAGTCTCCCCACCTTTCACTAAAAAGAGAGATGGGGCGGAGGGAGGGAGGCAAGCCGAGAGGAGGGACTGGGCAGGGTGGCTCTGACAGAGACAGGTAAAGGGCTCAAGAAAGACCTGTTGGGAGTCTTCCTTTGTGCTGACCTTGGGCTCTTCCCACCTGGGGGCCCAACCTTTCACTCACTCCACGGATATCCCAATAGCCCAGAGTCACGGGCATGGTTCCTGTTCCAGCCTTGGAGATTGCAGTCAGGCCACGGCCAGAAGGCTCCACTTACAGATGCTGGCACAGCGTGGACACTGAGCAGTTCCAGAGCGGCTCTGCCCCGCCCCTAAGTGAGCTAGCCCCGCACCCCCACCCCGAACCACAGAGCCCAACCCACCACGACTGTGGGAGTCAAAGCCAATCCAAGCCCAGGGGCTATAATCTGGAGGCGGGGCTGAGTTTTCAGATAACAAAGGCAATGACAGGCTGGCCTGCTCTAGTCTGCCCCCTGCTGGATCCTCAGGAAGTTGGCGGTATCCCTGGAGACCGCCAGTTATGACCTGTTCCACCCCTCTCCTTTCCTTATGGACTGGTTTTCACACCTAGACTGTGGGAATCTGTCATTCAGGGAGGCTCAGATCTCAACGTATGGATGAAAAGGCATTCTCTCAACCTAAGAGTCTATTCTTGAACCCATCACTGGAAGAAGGAACTCTGCCATTCTAACAAACTCCAGGCTTTATTGTCCACACAACCTGGAGGTATAGGAGCAGTGAAATGTGTCTTTGGGGCGGGGAGGATTTGGGGGCTGTCTGGGTGGTTTGAAAGGAAATGCCCCCCAAAGGGAGGTGTGGCCTGGTTGGCCCGAGTGTGTCACTGTGGGGGCAGGCTTCGAGGTGTCTCTCCTCAAGTTCACTCAGTGTTACAGCCGACTTTCTGTTGCCTCTGAGTCAAGATGTAGCACTCCCAGCCCCAGAAGCACGTCTGCCTGCACGCCATCATGCTCCCTGCCATGATGAACTCTGAAACTGTATGCAAGTGCCCCGCCCCTCCCACGATTAAATGTTTTCCTTTTGTGTCTCTTTAGAGCAATGCGAACCCTGAGACAGCAATTTACAGGAGAGCATTTAATGAGAGTTTACAGTTTCAGAGGAAGAGTCCATGGCCATCGTGGTGAGGAGATGCCAGTAGGCAGACAGACAGCCAGGCATGGTGCTGACGCAGTAACTGAGAGCTCACATCTGATCTACAAGCAGGAGGCAGAGAGAGAGCTAATAGGAATGGCATGAGCTTCTGAAATCTCAAAGCCCACTCCCGGCGACACTCGTCCTCCAGCAAGGCCACACCTCCTAATCCTTCCCAAACAGTTTCACTAACTGGGGACCCAGCTCAAACATATGAGCCTATAGAGGCATCTCATCCAAATCACCACCAGGACCCAGCTCAAACATATGAGCCTATAGAGGCATCTCATCCAAATCCCCACCAGGACCCAGCTCAAACATATGAGCCTATAGAGGCATCTCATCCAAATCCCCACCAGGACCCAGCTCTTTGGTCATCAAGCTAGTGACCATATAAATTAAAGAGTACTTTGGCCATATCTGTGAGCTAAATCCAAGAATCAGATACAGATGGCTTGTGAAATTGAAAGGCTCCCATCACCATGGACAGAACCCTGAACTCAACAACACAGTGGCCAGAAGGGACCAGATAGCTCTCCTGATTCTAAGGGACAACAGGATTCTGTCCAGAGAGGACCTTGAAGGACTCTGCAGAGGATTCAAATACCTAAGAGTCAAACATTCAGCTGTCCAACTCACTGGTTTCGGCCCTGACCCAAGGTCCTGCCTCATGTGTGTTTGGGTACAAGAGAGTGACTCAAATGTCTTGCAAATAATTGTGGCACCTGTGGTTAAAACTCAAAGACAAAACCTTACCAAGCCTCCCCCTTTCAGGTTCTTAACTTCAGTGACTTTTAAAAACAAAATTTAAAATGAATTTGAAAACAGACTCAAGAGGCAGGGGGATGGCTCACTTGGTAAGTATTTCCCAGTCAATGCTAACCCATATGAAAAAGTTTATCATGGCGGCAGACACTTATAAACCCCAGTGCTGGGGAGGTGGAGACAAAAGTTTCCAGCAGGTTTCCTGGTGCCTGTCTAGCTGATTATCCAGTCTCCAGGTTTTGTGAGAGAGTTGTCTCAAACCCCACAGAGGGGTTGATGAAGACACCAGATGCCAATGTCTAACCTCCACAGACATGTGTACACATGTGCACACACAGGAACACATGTATACAACTCAGAGGCCTAAGGGTTGCAAAGTCAAAAATTAGCTCAGTGGGGAGGCAGAGGAACAAGTAAATATTTTAACATTTCTGTGAAGTTGGGGAGTACTTAGGCTGAGAGGGAGGAGAGAGAGAAGCAGAGGTCCTCTGGCTGCCCAAGCGCTGCCTATTAGAAAGCTCACTGATGGATCTGAACGGGGAGCACCAGCAACAGGCGAGCAGAAGCAGAGTCAATGGTCCCATGTCCGACCTTCATGCTGAGCTACTTCTCATCCGTTGAGCCTGTTACTTCCAGGGCTGCAGAGATTATCTGAACCAGCCAGCACACAGCTGAGGCACAGGCCACAGGCAGAGAGGGAGGATTCCAGACACAGACTCTACTCTCTGGGAGCGGAAGGTCTGCTGTGGGAGAATTCACTCCGTTCTGACATTGATGAATAGCAGTGTTCACTCAATGCAGTAGGATGCTATGAGCGATACTGGTGGCCGCACGCGGTAGTTCAGAGGACCTGTGTGCATGATCCAAACCCTGCCGGGCCCTGTCCAGCAGGGGGCGTGAGAGAACACGGAAAGTCTGGGCTAAACAGGTTCCGGCCATCTGACTGGAGATACTAATAGCATGGTTCTTCAAAATGTCTGTCTGTCCACATGTAGCCCACACAATGACTAACGCTCAGTATTTCCCCTCTGGTAAGTTCAAGTGATGGTCCCTGACCCCCACTGCCTCCCCACCCCACAACTTGCGGCCAGACCCTCTCACACAGGCTGCCAACATTGTAGGTGTTCCTGGACTTGATTATGGCACACTGCACCTCACCAATAAGATATTGACAGCTGCCACTCCACCCCATCTGCATGTTGGGAACTTCTCTTTCTCTCTCTCTCTCTCTCTCTCTCTCTCTCTCTCTCTCTCTCTCTCTCTCTCTCTCTCTCTCTCTCTCTCTCTCTCTCTCTCTCCCTCTCCCTGCCTCCCTCCCTGCCTCCCTCCCTGCCTCCCTCCCTGCCTCCCTCCCTCCCTCCCTCCCATAACTGAGATATAGCTCCCTTCTATGGAAAGGAGTGTCAGAGCTAGTCTTCCTCTCCCTGGTAAAGAGCCCCTCTGGGTAGCAAAGTCCTAAACGGAGGACTGTATGCAAGACAGGATCACTGTTCTATCATGTACAACTAGGCCTTTTGTTCTTCAAGAAGCCCTTGTCCAAAAATGTCCTTGGGACTTCAAGCACTTGTTTATGCCAGAAATACTATCTTAGTCTAGTTAGGTGATATCAGCCGGCCTTGGACCCAGTTCCTTGAGATACATCCCTTCTTCTTCTTCACTGCCCCCAACAGGGACATTAAAGGAACAGGCTTAGAAACTTCCTTCAGACCCTTACCATGTCATGCTGCCTGCCTACCAGTGATCTGCAAAACTCTTGCCTACAGGTCAACTAGACTCAGTGACCCCTTCTCCTCTTAAAACTGAAAATCTAACAAGGGGAAAGTACCCTAAAGAAGGAGGCTGAGACCCTGAAAGAGTCCATGAAGTAGAAATGCTTAGTCTCCTGGACTCTCCCCAGGAGATGAACTGTCTTCCAGGTTGCTGTCTCTTTGAGCTGAATCCTACTGCACAGAACACCGTGGAAATAGGGGGAAACTAGGCAAAGAAGTTTAACAAATAGTAAGTGAGGACAGGCTGACGAAGCCAACTCCAATGCAGTTTTTTTTCTTTTGTTTGTTGTTAAGAAAGCCTGTCTCCCTCCCCCATCCTCAGGAGCAAGAGGCACACTGAACGGAGGAGCCCACAGGAGGCTAGCCTCAGCCAGTCATGTTTTATTGTCTGTGTCTAAGTACTTGTCTTAGGCTGCTTCCAGCTGAGACCTTCAAGTGGATGTTTTTCTCTCTTCTAACTGTGAGCACAATGTTCAGAGATCTTTATGTTATCCTTAGGATATGAAAGTGAAGCTGCTCTTGATTCTCTTCTTTAATAATCACACGGCCAATTTCAAATCTAACGTAGCATTTGCCTTTTTTACTGGGAGCATCTGAATTTGGGCAGGGACTGCGCAGCAACCACCCATCGTTCTTTGTTTTCTTTCTTACTTATTTGTCGTATTCACTGTGGTAAACTCTATAGCACCACATTTGCCGTATGTCAGTTCAGTATTGCCACAGGCATCGATGCTGGCAGCTGTCACCACTCTGTGACTCTTCCCTCCAGCCTCCAGAAACCACCACCGCTGTGACTGCTGCGCATTCCTCGTATGTTATAGCTGCAATAGGGAGTGTACATATTCTGGACTCTAGAGTAGTGGGTGGCACTATCTCATGAGGTGGTAGACAATTTAGAACATGAGGCGAAACTGCAGAGAAGGAGCCTGGGAACAGTTCCTTGAAGATGCTCAGTCTGGGGATCCTCCTGCCATACCCTCTTCCTCTCACCCACCAAGAAGTGAGAAGCTGCCTCTACCACATGTTCTGGCCACCATGATATTCTGCCTAAGCACATGGGGCCAAGGGACCCTGGGCCAAACTTTCTGAAACATCAGCCTAAATAAATTTTTTGCCCTTAAGTTGTGTCCTGCCTAGTATTTTGTCAGAATGATAGGGAAAGTCACTAATATAATCAGAATTGTATAATGTTTGCAGTGATTTTTTTAACCAGTATTAATGGTTCAAGTTTCATCTAAGTTTTATCGTGTATCAAAATGGCCTTCCTCTTTAACACCAAAAATTATTCTTCTGTTTCTATACTGCATTTTTTCACACTCATTTGTAAATGGGTTCATGGGTTTCATTCATATTCTATTCACGGTAACAATACTTCTTTGAACATGGACATACAAACATACATGTGACTGGCCAGGTTGGCACATACTGAAATCCTAAGGCCTGGGAAGCTTAGGCAAGAAGATCACAAGTCTTGGCCAGCCTGGGTTACATAAATAATTCTTGGCCAGTCTGAGAGCTAAATAGAGAAATTTTGTCTTAAAAAGCCAAAAATAGTTATTTAAGTTCACTATATATGGTGCATATATACTATACATGATATGTGCATGTGTATTATATATGCAGCATATAGATATGGACCTTACTTTGAGTATATACCTAAAAAAGGAGTTGGTACATCATAAGTAATTCTATCACTTATCTTATGAGGAATGGCCTAATTTCTATAATAGTTGTAGCATTTTACATTCCAAGAGACAAAGCAAAAATGTTCCAATTACTCCATACAATTACCATCTGTAGTGACCAATCAGAAGCGTGTGAGGCAGATACTGAATGTAGTTTTGTTTTACATTTCTCTAATAAGTGGTTTTTGAACACTTTTTCGAGTGCTTATAGACACTTGCATATCTTTTCAAGAAAAAGAAAAGTCATTCAAGTCCTTTGCTTGAGTTTGAGTTGTTTGGTCTTCTCTTTGTTGCACTCACTGTGAGTGGTATACGTTCCATGGGCATGTCCAGAGCCTATGACTTCCACAGAATGATATCCAACAGAGGAATCAGAAAAGACCAGGAGGGACTGGAAAGATGGCTCAGTGAAGCACCTGCATAGTGTGCATGCTCACCCATCTGGGTCTAATTCCCAGCACCTGTGGGAAAGCCAGGCTAGGAAGTGTGAGCCTGTCAATTTCAGGGCCGGGAGATGGAACTTACTAGCCAGACAGTTCAGTCAAATCAGTGAGATTCAGGCTCACTATGAGACAATCTAAAAAAAAGTTAGATAGAGTGGTTGAAGAAGACATCTGATATTGTCAATCTCTGGTTTCTGTACACACACACACACACACACACACACACACACACACAGTTTCACTCTCATTTAATATTTGTGTCTACCTACTTAACTTTCATCACATTCCCTTTAACTTCCCTTTTTCCTGTATTTAATCTGTGTTTGAATTAGGTTTTCTTTGTCTGTTTGTTTTTACTTTCATTGACTCTTTGTGGATTTCACATCATGCTTCCCAGTCCCACTTACCTCTCCATCTCCTGGAATCTGCCCTCTATCCTGGCAACCCCCCAATAAAAACAAACTTAAAAGAAAACCCAAAAACCAAACAAAGAAAAAAACAAAAGAAGAAGGAAGAGAAGGAGGAGAAGGGGGAGGAGAAGGAAGGGGAAGAGGAGGACCCTATCATGGAAGCTAGAGTACAGCCCGCTGAGACACACAGTTTACCCTTTAGTCTGCTCATGTGAGTCAATGTTTAATAAAGGCTTATCAGATTAATCAATACTTCTCTTCAACAAATAAAGGAAATAATCTCTTATCTTACAAGCCTTACCTTTTAATCACTTATTTCATAATGACCCTCACATCCTTCCCAAGAGTGCTTACTTCCTCACTGCTGTAGTAGGCAACAGCTAGAACTTGGCATAAGGACAATGACCAGCAGGGTTGTCCTCCAACCTGTTCTAAATTATAGATAGGTATAAGGAAGTACTTAACAAAGACCAGAATCCAGGATCTGCCACCAGCAGAAGATGCTTCTTCAACGAGCCCAGCTCTTGTAGGTGAGCTGACACAAAATGTCCACATACCTCTGCTCACATACTGCTGGACTTGGGCCCAGGAAAATTGGTCTGCCCTTCCTCAGTCACTCAGAGGCAGCTGCAGCCTCAAAAATGCTTAAGTGAGAGCAGCCCTCTGGGTCAGACAACAACAGCTCCTCATGGGAAATCTTCTGTATCTCATTCTATGCCTTCTAGGGGAACCATGGTTATCTCCCAAGCTCCCGAGCTCTAATTCCTAGCACTGACAGAAGGAGAGAGAGACACAGACAGACAGACAGACAGACAGACAGACAGACAGACAGACAGACAGAGAGAGAAGGAGGAGGAGGAGGAACACTGATGGTACACCAAACACTGTCATTCATAGCAGAGATCAAAAGTCCAACAATGCCTGGATCCTCCAAAGGAGCCTATGATTGAGTTAAGTGACAACATCCATAACCTCAGTCACAAGCAGCAGGAGACATCTTGAGAAGAAAGAAGAATGCTCAGAAAACTGAACGTTCAGTTTAGAAAAGACTTCTAGGTGAGAACAGATGTTGAGCGTAGGACCTGCTTACGGCTTCCCATCAGGCCAATATTGCTTCAAAGCCAGACACACAACCATACACAGCCAACAGAGTTATTGCATAGTGCAGGATGATGAGGAAGCCTGACTCAGAAGGAGCATCGTCCTGCAGGAATCCCAGGGTCATCTGGAATGATATCTAATTGAGAGCTCCAGTCACAGTCTCATTAGCCAGCTCTTCCTATGAACAAAACAATGAACACCACTCAACTGAGTCAATGCACTCAGTTTTTAGAGCCGCAGGCTATAGACAAGACACAGAGTCAGTGTAGTTCAAACAAGGCTGATCTCTCACACAACCGAGAGGACTATAGTAGGGTCATTTATGTTGCTCAAAACAAAGCCCAGAACTGTCTAGCTAGAAACCATAGAAAAACAAGAAAACGAAAGAACCAAAGAAGTGATGAGCTGAACTTGCAGAGCCTTCACTATAACTAGGGGAAGAGAGACACAGTGATCCTGGTAGAGGAGCAGGAAATGGAAGAGGCAGAAAAGAAGAGGAAGATGGATGCAGAGTGGACAGCGGGACCCAAAGATGGTTCAAAGTCCAGGGCACCGGGGACACTGTCAGGTCTTCCCTACCAGGAGCAGCAGTGCAGAGTCCTGCTTGTTACCCCACGTGGGCTGTTTTAAGTACACAGGGCTTGGGAGGAAGCAGTTGGTCTTCATGTAGGCAGAGATCTTCAGGCCCTGTGGGTGGGAAGGAGAAAACAGGATCTCAGCCCTGCAAACTCACTCTAGGAACATCCAAGAGACTTTAAAATCCAGATGTAGTAAATCTACCCAACCACCATGCAAAATCAGGCCAACAATCATCACCATTCAGGAGGGATGCTGAGGTACAGGAACGCAACTGACTACACCATTCTGCAGATCAGGTGTGACCACTGGGTATTTCTTGGTTCTGCACATCAGTCTGCCTTGGTCTCAGCCTCATGGCTGCAGGGACAAACACATTCTTCACATGTTCTGCATACCACAAGTCCCAGGCAAGAAACTCAGGCTGTGCAAAGACCTGACTTTCCATTTTGCACATATCAGAGAGAATCAATGGAGGCTGTCTTGTAGTGATATATATTATTTGTGACTTATTAAAGCTTGACTGGGGATTCAGAAAAGCAAAGTCAGCCTCAGGCTACAGAGATCAGGCAGTGGTGGCACACACCTTTTATCCCAGCAGCCAGAAGCTAGGAGGTGGTAGTGCACACCTTTAATCCTAGGACTAGGGAATAAGAAGTGGATGGATCACTGTGAGCCCAAGGCCACCGAGATCTACACAAGATTGAATCAGTCTAAAAAAGAACTATAGCTCACACCTTTAATCCCAGCACTAGAGGGGTATTAAAGACAGGAGCAAGCCGTCAGTATGAGGCATTCATTCTCCAGCCATGCTGAGGAGAGGTTACAGTCTGGTGAGAGGTTACAGCTTGGTGAGAGCTTGTGGAGACAGGATCAGCCTGCTCAGCCTGAGGTAGACATAAGAATCTAGTGGCTGGCTGCTTTGCTTTCCTGATATTCAGCTTGGAGTCTGAACCCCAACATCAGTCTCTGGGTCTTTTATTTTTGGTGTTACGTTGTCTGTTGAGCTGGACTGATCCAAGACGTTTATTCTCTGGGGCTCTAGTGTATGGAGAAGGGACACAGCTCCTTCTCTAAGGCCAGGAACATGCTTGGCAGAGCCAAAAACCCTCAGGACTCTGCTGCTTCAGATCCTGAGAACCCAGCTCTTACCACTGGGCAAGAGTATGGTTATCAGTCCCAAGGACACTGTGTGCTCACACTGTAATCTCACATTCTGTTTGTCCAGCATTGCTTGATTAGCTTTCAGCTGACTTCACACCATTTCTCCTCCAGAAATAGCATGTAAGATGCTATACTTCTTAATAAGTTTCCTTGGCATAAGACACAGCTTGTGCAAGACCTCCCAAGCCTAGCCTTCACCTTGTTTATCTTCTATCTTTCTCTTCTCCTGGCCACCTTCCACTTAGGACCCTGTCACTGAAGAACAACTTTCTGGTCCAGGTCAACTGCCTTTAGAAGCCAAAGGCAGTCAGGAGCCCAGAGCAGTCTCTGCTGGAGCTAGGACCTTGAGCAAGCAGCTGGCCCTCCACAATCGCAGATTCCTAATCAGCCCAGTGGGACATCTAACTCTACTCAGGTTGCAGGCTGTTGCAAGGATACCCTGACTCCACAGATGTAAGAGGCTGCTCACAGGTCCTGACAGAAAGCCAGGGCTCAGTAGTCCCTTGTTATTCTTCTTTTAACCCTCGGGACTAGGGAAGCATCCTGGAAAGGGGAAGGGAAGGATATCCAAGAGGAAGGAGGATCAGGGCGTCACCTCAAAGCAAGCCACAAAGTCCTTCAGGTTCGGGAAGGCATCCAGGCACTTGGGTTCAAACATTTGGTGCTGGTCCAGGATATCATAGACGAGGAAATCCGCAAAGGTGATCTGCAGGAAGCGAGGGTCAGTGGGATGGGGTCTGGTTGCCTGTGAAGAATGGCAGCTCCTCCTTCCCACCAGTTACCTCTTTACCTTGTCCCCTGCAAACCATGGCCGCGTGCCCAGTAGAGCTTCAAGTGATCTGAGATAGCCTTTGAGATCTTTGTCTTCTGTTTTTCCTGAGGTAGAAAACAGTTGTCACAACCTTTGGACAGCAGAGCTCGGGAGAAATGCTGACCTCATAGGGCAGTGGGGAAGAGTGGCCTCTTCTCTAACACTGGGCCTGCGCCACTGTGCGGGCTTCCATGTAACACACCACTGTTTGCTCAATCAGACCCTACTCTGCAGCAGAGTTCACTCTGAGGACAAGATAGAAACACCACACTAATATTAGATGGGAATGCCACGCTGTCCCTGGATCTGTCACCACTAACATCCAAACCAGACATGGTGTATTAAACCCAGGTTGTTAGGGTGGCTGACAGATTCTGCACCTGCAAGTCCAGTGAAACCAGAAAAGAAAATAGTTAACAGTCTCAAGAGAAGAGTCCAAATCATTTCTAAGGGATGACACAAGAACAGGGTCAATATTTGAACAGCATGAGCAAAGTTGAACCATGGTTGATGCTGAAAATGGCAAAGGTCCTCAGGCTGACCGTGAGGTGCCTGTTAGGGAGAGGGCCCCTCAGGCTGACCATGAGCTGCCTGTTAGGGAGAGGGACTCTCAGGCTGACTGTAGCTGCCTGACATAGAGAGAGGCCTTTGAGTATTGCTTCTACTTGGGACTCAGCTCTGTGAAAACTGTTGGGCAGATTTCTGGCTATATTAGACTTATTTTCTTCTGATTTAAGCCTATGCGCTCAAGGAGCGGGTAGATGATGCATGACCAGTCAGGCAAGATGGCATACAGCCATGGTCAAGTTCAAAGTTGGAGAGCATTCCAAATACAAAAATTTATATATACAAAGAACTCAAGAAACTAGAAATCAAACTACCATATAATCCAATTTAAAAATGGAGTACATACCAGGAAGTGGTGGCGCACGCCTTTAATCCCAGCACTCGGGAGGCAGAGGCAGGCGGATCTCTGTGAGTTCGAGGCCAGGCTGGACCGACAGCCTCCAAAACAATACAGAGAAACCTTGTCTCGTAAAACCAAATAAAATAAAATAAAAATAGAGTACAGACCTAAATAGAGAATTCTCAACAGAACAATCTCAACAGAAAGACACTCATCAGAGAAATGCAAATCAAAACCACTCTGAGATTCCATCTTACACTAATCAGAATGGCTAAAATAAAAAACACCAATGACAGCTTATGCTGGAGAGGATGAGAGAAAGGGGAACACTCCTCCATTTCTGGTGGGAGTGCAAACTTGTACAGCCACTGTGGAAATCAGTACGGTGATTTCTCAGAAAATTAGGGTCAACCTACCTCAAGTCCCTGCAATATCACTGTTGGGCATATACCCAAAGGAGGCACATTCATACCACAAGAACATTTGCTCGACTATGTTCATAGCAACATTATTTGTAATAGCCAGATCTTGGATATAGACTAGATGCCCCTCAACTGAAAAATGGATACAGAAAATGTATATTTACACAATGGAGTACTACTCAGTGGTAAGAAGCAATGACATCCTAAAATTCACAGGTAAATGGACAGAACTAGAAAAAAACATCCTAAGTGAGGTAACCCAAAACCAGAAAGACAAATATAGTACATACTCACTCATAAGTGGATACCAGACATAAAGCAAAAAGATACCCAGCCTACAATCTATAATCCCAGAGAAGCTTGAACCCTCTTCCAGATGGAAGCAGATACAGATGCAGGAATCCATAACTAGCCAATGGGCCAAGCTCCTGGAGTACAATCGAAGTGAGGGAGGAGCAAAAATATGAACAAAAGAGTCAAGACCATGATGGGGAAGCCCACAGGATCAGCTGACCCAAGGTAGTGAGAGATCAGTGACTCAGGTCTGACAAATGGGGAATCTGCATAAGGCCAAATAGATTCCCTTAATATAGGTAACAGTGGTGTGATTGGGACAATATATGAGGTCACTGGCAGTGGGTCCAGGATCTAACACTAATGCACAAACTGACTTAGTGGAGCCCATTCTATATGGAGAGATACCATGCCCAGCCTAGACACGGGGATATGGGGGTGGAGAGGTGCCTTGATCCTGCCTCAACTAGATGATGGGACACACTTAGTAGACTTCCTAGGGGAGGCCTTACCCTCTCCTTGGAGCAGATGGGAGGAGACTGGAGTGGAGGGTTTGGGAGGAAAGGAGGGAGGGGGAACTGGGATTGGAATATAAAAAAAATAAATTAATAAAAAAAGAAAGAAATTATTACATAGGAACTAAAGGCCCAAGCAGGGCTTTCACAATAATACTAAGTATTTCTAGACATTGATACACAGTGTCTATTAATAAAGCTTAGGAGTTAAGGGGGTGAGTGTGTTGACTGAATAGAAAACCTTGGAGAACCAGAATGGATTAGTTCAAATACCAAACAGGACAAATGTGGGCATGAACAAAAGCCTTTAACTCCTGCAAAGCCAGTCTATGCCATACAGTGGGGACTCACAAAGTCAGGGCTGTAGCAGAGCGACTGCATGCGGCTGTCCATACCTGGTTCTCCACAGTGTCCACCCAAACCCTCTCCTCCTCTGTCCCACCCCAGCCAAGCCAAGAGGATGGCTTATGTCTGCTTCCCTTCAGCCAGCCCCACCATCACAGGAAAACACTGTGCAGTCTCCAGGATGGGAGCAGGAGAGCTGAAGCTCTGATCCCAAAGCCCTCAGCCAGGTGAGGAAATGAGGTGAGGACGCCATGCCCTCCCCAGACCTCCCCTTCCCTGCACCTACATTGGGGAAGTCCAGGCCCAGCTTGACTTTATCACTCAGCCTTTGTCTTCAGTCATCATTAGAAGCTGTAGTGGACAAAATAATGTAAAAATATTACCGCCCCTTGTACATCCTTCCCTTCCCCTGGGATCTTCCCAAAACATCAGGGCAAGCATCTCACATTCTAAGGCTTCACAAGTGAATACTTCCTCAAAGGCTGTAGACCCCACATGACCAAGATTTACAAAAGGTATGGGCAAGCACTAGGCAAACCCCACACAATTACAGGTTGAGAGGAAGCCAACACTCCACTCCCAGGATTGTGTATTGAAAAACAAAGCTGTACCCTCAAGGAGGTTTCTAGAAGGGATTCACTCAGGGTTCACCTGGAGGAGAGCCACATTGCTAAGACACAGGGAACCAGGAAGAAGCCGTTGGATACCAGTGGACAGAGTTGGGGAAGAATCTGACTAAAAGAGAGTGCCATTACCGTCCCCCATGGCATATCTCTTCTCTTCATAGCTTGTCACTGTGTATTCCAGGGGCAGGAGGATAGCATGACCCAGCTGAGAGATGGCCAGTAACAAAAGTCACGGTCAATGAGATCCTAAATGTGCCACGTCACCTCCTCTAGGAAAGTCTCTTTCTCTATTCCCAACAGCAGAACATGAGTAAGCATAGGACTCCTGACAGGGAACAGGTAAGCATAGGACTCCTGACAGGGAACAGGTAAGCATAGGACTCCTGACAGGGAACAGCAGAACAGGAGTAAGCATAAGACTCCTGACAGGGAACAGGTAAGCACAGGCCTCCTGACAGGGAACAGCAGAACAGGAGTAAACATAGGACTCCTGACAGGGAACACAAGAGCCAAAAGTGAGGATGAGGTTCTACCTCCTGGAACCAGGCCTAACTCGTCGCTGTGTCCCTACACTTAGCAGGCTAACCTTTTTACTCATCCCACGGATATTCCAATAACCCAGTCATGGGCATGTTTATAACCCAGTCATGGGCATGTTTATAACCCAGTCATGGGCGTGTTTTCTGTTCTAGCCATGGAGACTGAGCAGTCAGGCTTCAGTAGAACGGACTTCACTTTCAGATACCAGTGCACAGGGGGCAGTATCTACTTGCATGTGGTTCCTGAGCCCTTTCTGCCCCACTCCCAAATAGGACAACCCACCAGGCCAGAAGCCCAACTTATCACGACTGTGTGAAATCCAGTCCAAAGTCTTTCATCTTCAGGGGCAGGTCTGAGTATTCATATACCAAAGGCAGTGATTGGCAGGCCTGCTCTGCTGGCTCCCTGCCCGCAACCCCTGCTGGATCCTCAGGAAGTTGGCAGTGCCCTGGAGACTGGCCCGATAGGCAGAGAACAAGGCGGCTCTCCCTTCTTTCATTACAGGGCTCAATTTTCACACCTAGACTGTGGGAATCTGTCATCCAAGGAGGCTCACCCTCAATACAAGGACCAAAAAGGCATGGCCCCAACCTGAGAGTTTAATCCAGCACGTATCACTGCTTCCAGGACTCCTCTAGTCTGAAAACTCTCAAAACTTCATTGTCCCACAGCCTAGAGTTACAGGAATAAGAAGTGACATGGGAATGACCCCAGAACAGTGACAAACAGCACAGCCAGAGTCTTTGTGTTTCCTTTAGGGGATTGGTTGGAGACGCAGGCCTTTGAGCATCAAGCTAATGAGCATATAAGTTAATCAGTACATTGGCCGAATTTGTGAGCTCAGTTCAAGAACCAGACACATAGGGCATGGAGACTCGGGGCATCCCACCACCACTGACAGCAGTGTGTTGGCAGAACTTCGCACTCACCAACCCAGTGGGAGGGAACACAGAGTTCACAAATGGAGTTTGCTGGTTGAGCATGTGCTCCAAGGAGCCAGGCACTGCTCCCGTTTCCAAGGGGTTCCAGAAGCCTGACCAGAGGAGACCCTGTGGTTTCTGCATAGGATCTGCAGAGTTCCCTGGCATTAGCCCAGGCTTGTGTTTCATGTGTGTCTGGGAATGAGAGGGACTTGAGGTTAAAACTCAAATACAATAGCTTACCGGTGTTACCCAAGAGCCAAAGTTCCTTTGTTTGGGTTTTTAGTATTTGTAGTCATTGTTCTATTGCTGTGCAAAGACTCCATGACCATGGTAACTCTCATAAAAGGGGGCTTACTTACTGTTTCAGAGGCTCAATCTATTGTCCTTGTGAAGGGAAGGCTGACATCATAGCTGAGAGTTCCACATCTGGATCCAAGGGCAGCAGGAAGAGAAAGCCCCTGGATTTGGCTTGGGTTCTTGAAA